TGAATTTTTTAATTTTCTTGTGTATTGAAATCAGTTCACAAAAGTAGAGTTCACCTTTTGTCCTCTTCTATAAATGTGACTTGGGTAAAATTCTTTTTTATTTTTTTATTTTTTTAGTTGTAATTGGACACAATACCTTCAAACTTTTATATGTGGTGCTAAGGATCGAACCCAGGGAGGGCTTCACTCGTTCTAGGCAAGCACTCTACCTCTGAGCCACAACCCCAGCCTGGTAAAATTCTTCTATAATTTCAGAATGCATAGTTGCTTCTGTGTAGGATCCTGCAGAAAGAAATTGCTTAGGATCTTAACTATTGTTGTTTTGGACTTATATTCAGATTAATTTGCTTTCTGCTTTAATGATGACCACCAAAAGTGGGTGCCCACATTGGTAATTCACAAATAGATTGGGGAAGCTTCACAGTTACTCTTTAAGGAAGACTGCTGCAACTAAGAAAATGTGTTCATACTTCCTTGGGTATGTGACACTTGGGCAAGTAACAGATTGTTCTTTGCTGATCAAGTTTTAGTAACTTGTGCAAAAACTGAGGTCTYAGCTGGGTATTGACTCCTTTTTTTTGCCCAGGTGATAATTTTAGTGAAATTGCCCATTATCAGTAAGTTCCCATGGATTCTTACAAAAGGGTAAACTCACATTCTCTCATGAAATATTCATGAGGAGGGAGCACTCCTAGTTAAGAGTGGGCATTTTCCAAGTATTTTGCCTTTAGCCACAGTTGAGAGTTTTCTTCAAAAATATCCCCAAAAGGTCTGTTTTTCCAGAAATTACTGATGTGAAGGGCTTTTAATGAGATGGCAGTTGAAGAACACTTCTCTTAAGAGACTGGAAGAGCCATAAGGGCAAGGATAAGAATCATCTGCTGATGCTGGGCACTGAGCCTGGAACACAGGAAGAGTTCTGTAGACAGTGAAGAAAAGAGCAATTGCAATAACTTAACTCTTGGTTTCTTTCCTCACTGCTTAAGGGATGGATTCACTCAGGCATTTTAAAGGGGGATACTATCTTTTATACATTTTTAGGACCTTTTGGAATGTAACACATTTGGCTTTCTAAACCCAGCAAGGAGGTACTCTCTCTTGGACCTTAGGCCACATTTTGAGAAAAATGCTCAATTGAAAGCTTTTTTTCTTCTTTTTTTTTTTTTTTTTCTTTATGGTGCTGGGAATTGAATCTAGGGCCTTAGGCATGTCGCATGAGTACTCTACCACTAAGCTACACTATTGGCCTCAACTCAAAGTAGTAATTTTTTTTTTATACTAGGTTTTTAACCACGGGTGCTTTGCTGCTGAGCCACATCACCAGTCTTTTTGTTTTATTTTATTTTATTTTGAGGAAGGGTCTCTCTAAGTTACTTAGGACCTGGCTCAGTTGCTGAGCTGGGCTTGAATTTGCTATTCCCCTTCCTTAACCTCCCAAGTTGCTGGGATCACAGGCAGCACCACTGCATCTGTCATTAAAATATTTCTTTATCTTGACCATCAGGACCAAAATTTGGCCCTCCTAAATGTTTTGTGGAGGTATTAAAATGTTAATCTTTTCCAGTTGATTCTTTTTTTTAATATTTATTTTTTAGTTTCAGGTGGATACAATATTGTTTTTTATTTTTATGTGGTGCTGAGGATCAAACCCAGTTCCTCACACATGCTAGGCGAGCACTCTACCCCTTGATCCACAACCCCAGCCCCTCTGGTTGATTCTTAAATCATCAGCGTTTCAGCAAATAGCTAATAGTAATGAAGAACTTAGATCCTTGTTATATGTTGGCGTTAAAAGGTTTTTTTCCTCCAAACAAACCCCATTGTTTAGAAACTTCTGTATATTGAGAATACATTTATTTTTTTTWAATTGGCTCTTTTTAGTTATACTTGATGAGAATATGTACATTTAACGGTGAAGTATATCATCCTTGGATGGCAATATGCTAAGGTTCTTAGTTTGATGTTTGAATTTGAGAAGGGTAAGGCAATTTGTAATAATCTTTGAGTTACATCTTTGTTGTTGTTGTTTGTTTGGTTTTTTATGTGGTGCCCAGGAATCGAACACAGTGCCTCGTGCATGCTAGGCAAGCGCTCTACCACTGAGCCACAACCCCGGCCCCTTGAGTTACTTCTAGTAGCAGAAAATTATTTGACAGTGTTTCTTTTTTCCCTCCCCGTAGTATTATGTGTATTTCCTACGTTGCAGGGTATTTCCTGTTTCTACCTGAATATTTTTCCCCCTTCAGTGGGGAAGTGGTGGTGCTAAGGACCAAACTCAAGGCCTCATTGAATGTTAGGCAAGGGCTGTATCACTGTAAACTGGAAAACTTTTAAGCCTTTTGCACAGTGCTTTTTAGGATTTTGTACTGTGACATCTGCTATTGGTATTACTRCTATTGGTCTATTTGCCCTGCCTCCCTGCCCCAATGTTGTATTTATCTCCACAGGTCTGTTTTGTGCTTCTGGGGATTGAACTAGGACCTTGAGCATGCTAGGCAAAGCTCTTTCACTAAGCTATATCCCTGTCCCATCTTCAAAGCTCTGACACTGTATCTGCCCTGCACATTTGTCTGAATTCTTGTCTTTATTGATTTATAGGTGGCATGACAGTTTTTTTAATTTATTGTGTTTTGGTTTTTGTATTGGGGGATAGAACCCAGGGGTGCTTAGCCACTGAAGTATATGCCCAGCTTTTTTTTATTTTTTATTTTGAGACAGGGTCTCATTAAATTGCTTAGTGCCTCACTGAATTGCTAAGGCTGACTTTGAACTTGAGATCCTCCCCTGCCTCAGTCTCCCAAGCCACTGGGATTACAGGTGTGTGCCTCTGTGCCCGGCCTTTGACAGTTTTTTGTTGTTGTTTTTTGGTTTTTTTTTTTTTTTTTTTTTAGAATTTAGACTGCCTCTAGACATTGTCTTATATTTGAAATTCTGTTTATCTTAGGCATCTAAACTTTTTTAGGTATTTCTACCCAATAAATAAGGTAATTTATAAGTAAATCCTAAATAAATGAAAGTACTTAATTGATATCCTGGTTTTAAAACTAAAATTTCCTCTGGTTGTAGGATATTTTGCTCACCTGAAAACATTTAAAGACTTCAGCTATCTGAAGACACTGGGTGAATTTGTGCCATGTTATAGGCAGTGATTCCTATAGGCTGAGAGAGCAAATCTATCCCTCTGATACCTCAAAATATGGAAGCAGCCTGCATTCTCCTCTTGTGAGGTCTGGAATGGGAGTGTTGTAGAGGTCATGGCACAGTGCTCCACGCTTTCTTGCTAGGCAGTTGCAGCATTTTACTGCTAATGAAAGTTTGTGAATTGCTTTATTTATTTTATTATGAAAATGTTTATATATATATATCAATAAGAGGCAGTCGATTTTGTGTATATTCATATAAGTGTGCATGTATGTGTATTAGTTTGTATGTATGTTTGCATCCATATAGAAATGCATGTGTTTCCTGGGTTAGATGAAAGAGCCTATAACCAAATAAACACATACCTTGTTCCCAGATGTTGGTTTCTTATGGGACTAGAATTTCTCAGAGAAATGGCTAAATCCAGCATTAGGACAGGATAGGTACAAGCTAAATCAGTAAAGCAGTGTTTTTTTATTTGTTTTGTTTTGTTTTTACAAAAGATGGGAGCATATTGAAAGAACATGTGAGCCAGCCTGAAAAAGCTTCAGCTGACAATCTGGGATAATTTGGGCACTAAAATAATTAAGAACAATAACAAATTATAGATCATTGGAAAAACTAAGAATCATGATTCCATATCAATATAAAGAATAACTGGGGAGCTGGGATTGTGGCTCAGTGGTAGAACATTTGGCTAGTATGTGTGAGGCACTGGGTTCGATTCTCTGCACTACATATGAATAAATGAATAAAGTAAAGACATAATGTCTAAAAAAAAATTTTTTTAAATAATAACTGGGGGAGAAGGAAAGATGTGTGTTTATATATGATGCCAAGTGCTAGCAGCTGAATATCATGGCATCCAGCAGTGATACTGTTTCTCTTAAGTTAGCGTTTGGCTCCAGGAATACTTTAACCTTAAGCATAAGGAAACCTCAGACAAAGCCAAAATGAATGTTCTCTTAAAAAGTGAGAGGTAGGTATATAGTAGAGCACTTACCTAGCAAGTTCTAGGTCCTAGATTCAAACCCAATACTGCAAAAAAGGGAGAGAGACTACATTATTTAGAGATGTCAGTGTCATAGTAGATAAAAGTTGTAGAGACCCAAGTGAGATAGCAACCAGATTCTAGACTGGTTCCTGTGTTTGAAGGGAGAGAAAATAAAAATAAATGACAAAATTGGAATTGGGAGGGTAGATTAAAGTATTATTGATAACTGTAGTTATATAAATCTGACAGGCCTTTTCAACCAGGGTCTGCAGAAGTCCCTATATCTGAAGTCATCCATTGTTTGTGATGGGTTGACTTCTCTCCTCTGCTGAAGACACAGTCCTTGAGAGAATGGAAAAAGTGTCCCTGAAATAATTTCTGAGCCGGGCAAGGTGGTACATGCCTAATCTTAGCTACTCGGGGGGCTAAGGCAGAAGGATTACAATTTGAGGCCAGCCTTTGGCATCTTAGCAAGACCCTGTCTCAAAATTAAAAAGAAAAAAAAATCTGTAGGGGCAGATTCTCTCTTGGAACTAGATAAGAGATTGTAAAAGAATATTCTCATTCTTTTTTTGTTATAATTATCAACTTTAATTGTGCAACTTGATGGTTTTCACTGACATTTCTATACGTGCATAAATTGTGCTTTTATCACGATTACCATCCCRCTAAACCATTATCTCTCTTCCATTGCATAGCATTCTTGTCCAAACCTCCAGTCCTTCCTRAAATAAGTCAAAAGTACAAATAAGAATTGTGTGAAATGTTTAAGGTAGATACTCAGAATTAATCAAAGGAGAAAGAAGTTGAAAGTGTATGGCCTGAAAACTGTAATTCAAAATCCCCATTTGATTTCTCTTTTTAGGAGGAGCTCTTGGATATAAAAGAACGCCCCCATTCCAAACAGAGACCTTCATGCCTTTCCGAAAAATATGACAGGTATCACTATCATTATAAGTCATTAAGTTCTACTTGTAAATTTTTTGTTCATTTGTTTTATCACACTTGGTAAATTAAGAATAATCTTAAGGGTTATTATAAATGAAGAAAGAACTTCATGAGATAATAACATGAACTTCAGGAAACTGATCATGAAACTAAAACTAGAAAATTATTTGATCAAAGTCACATAGAAAGCAGAAAAAATAGGGCTGGAGTTATAGCTTAGTGKTAGAAAGCTTGCCTCGCATGCACAAGGACCTGGGTTCAACAGCCAGTACTACAACAACAAAATAAACAGGAAAGAAAGATGAGACTTGAACCCAAGAGTCCTCGCCAGGATCTTTTCTCCATACTTTATGGTTCTTGCTCTGTGCTTTTAGGGTACTTCTTTAAGGGCCTGCCCCAGGAGTGTTCTGAGCCCTTTACCTGTGTCCCCCTCAAACTAATAACCATTTAATCATTCACATTAGCCTTATTGCTTCTTAGCCTCTTTTAGAAAAGATAGACAGCTTTGGTTTGAAGACACTACAACTGAAAATGGTCTGAAAATCTCCTATAATAACCCTCTCTCATACTTCTTATGATCACCTTAGTCATTTCTTAAATAGCAAGGTAAGGGGCTGGATTGTGGCTCAGTGGTAGAGTGTTTTCCTCACACTGGATTTGATCCTCAGCACTACATAAAAATAAAGGTATTTTGTCCATCTACAATCTATAACTAAAATAATTAAAAAATAAATAAAATGTAAAGGTACATCAAGAACTAAAAATATATTAAAAAATCAAAGTAGATGATTCATATTTGTTCATGTTTTTAACATACAAAGTATCATATTAGGTTTCATTTCTTAGTTGAATGGGTCACTTAAATTTTGTATGTGGACTCAAGGCTGTTAAACCTAGATGCTTCACCACATTCCCCTGATGAAGATGATATTGGAATAATGACTATTTTGATTGGCTAGCATTTTTAGCATTTATCTTCAGATATGCCTGTGGTGTTGGTTTGCTTGTTTTTTTGTTTGTTTGTTTTCATTGTAAAACCTTTTTATGTCTCAGGTTGGAATTAATTGTTGCAGCTATTTCTTCTTGACATAGTTATAAGCAGGGGCTGAGGCTGTGGCGCAGCGGAAGCACACTTGCCCAGCATTTGTGAGAATTGGATTCAGTTCTCAGCACCTCAAAAAAATAAATAAAATAAAGGTCTATCAACAACTAAAAAAACATTTTAAAAAAAATAAAGTTATAAGCAGACATACTAACTTTTATTCTGAAGTAGGGACATTGTACCTAGTGATAATACCAAAAATAAGAGATGAAAAGGAAAAGAGCTTCATTCTGTTGTTTCTCTTCTCTTTGAGAATGAAGATTTGTTGGGCTCTTAAACTCCAAGTAATCCTCACAAACAGCAGAAGATAGGTAATATCTCCTTTATTGTAAAAGGTTTCAAACTGAGAGGTTGGCTCACTTTTTCAAATGAGCCACTGATAGAGCACTTGCCTACCATGTGCAAGATGTGTATTTACTCCCCCAGTACTACAAAAATAAAAAGTTATGTACCTACTACATAGTAAATACTGAGTTAAGTGCTGCCACATACTTCTGCTTCATGAAATGCAGCCCACGAAAGACATATGTATGATGTCACTATATAGTGCAGCCTGTTCTGCTTTATGGTTTAGGGTTATCCTTTTTGTGAAGACAGCCCAAAAACATGTCTAGGATGTGGTAGCAAAGCTAGAATTTGATCCCAGATTGTTGGGCTCCAGAGCTTTTGCTCTGCACAGTCTACTGCCTATCACTTCATTAAAGAGGGAAACAAAGAGCTGGTGTTGTGGCTCAGCGGTAGAATGCTCATCTACCATGTGGGAGGCACTGGGTTTGATCCTCTGCACCACATAAAAATAAATAAAATAAAGGTATTGTGTCCAACTACAAAAAAGGGGGGAGGGGATCAACACAAAAATCTAAACTACACATCCTAGGTGCTAAAGAGATGTCCTGCTTGTGGAAAAAGTGAGACTGCATAAAGTTTTAGAAAAAGTACATATTAAACATTCCAGGAAATGCTTCTGTTAAAATGCTTCTGTTTTTTGTTTTTGTTTTTATCAGCTGTTAGTACTGATGAGTAATCAAAATGTTTATGAAAATTTTTGTATAGGTCAAGTATAGTTACTATAATCCATGTGTACCCCTAAGATGTGTGCCCTACATGTTTCATTTGTATACAGACCACTGGTTGGTTATTTGTTTAGTACTAGGAATTGAACTCAGTGGTTATCTTCCCCTGAGCTACATCCCTTTCCTATTTATTTATTTATTTATGTTGCCAGAGATTGAATTCAGGGATGCTTAACCACTGAGCCACATCACTAGCCCTTTTTTGTATTTTATTTAGAGACAAGGTCTCACTGAGTTGCTTAGGGCCTTGCTAAATTGCTGAGGCTGGCCTTGAACTCGCCATCTTTCTGCCACAGCCCCACAAGCTGCTGAGATTACAGGCATCTACCATCATACCGACTTCCTCTTTATTTTTTATTGAGACAAGGTCTCAGTAAGTCACTGAGGGTCTCACTAAATTTTTCCCACCTTTAATACCAAGGATCAAACCCAGGGGCGACTTACCACTGAACCACATCCCCAGCCCTCACTAAGTCGCTAGGGTTCATTAATTTGCTGAGGCTGGATTTGAACTTGCTTCCCTTCTACCTCAGCCTCGCGAGCCACTGGGATTACAGTGTGCCACCACACCCAGCTAAATTCCTGAGACTGGCCTCAAACTTGGGATACTCCTTCCTCAGTTTCTGATTGACTGGGATTACAGGCATGCACTACATTACCCAGCAAACCATTGGTTTCAAGTTCATGTTGGTATTATTAAATTAATTGCTTGTTTTTGTTCTCATCTTAAGAGGTAACCATTCTGAAGGCAACCATGAAATTTTATATTGGAAAGGGGTTTCCTTAACTTATTACCTGAAGAGGTTAGAGATTAAACTACCCACGTTATAGTTCATGGCTGCAAATGCTAACTCTCGGTACCTTTTGACCTACAGTGATGGTGTCTGGGACCCTGAGAAGTGGCATGCCTCTCTTTACCCAGCTTCAGGGCGTAGCTCACCAGTGGAAAACCTGAAGAAAGAGTTGGATAATGACCGACCCTCCCTGGTGCGTAGGATCATAGGTGAGTGAGTACAGTTTCTTAAAAGTAGAGACAGAGGTTTGGGGGAGGCAAGCTCTTAGCTGCTAGTTTCATTGTTAGCTGTGAGTTTTATGTATGGTGGCAGGGAGCTGTTTTCAGGAAACTGATTTACTAGTTGAAATTTTCCTAATTAATAAGGTAATATTATAGTCTTCCTATATGGCAATGGCAAGTAGACTATGTTATTAGGAAATGTAGAGATGTCTTTCATTGGTGTGCATAATAACAAAGCTGTTCTGTAAATCTAATCATGCTTCATCTCATACAAGATTAGTGCTTAGGTGTAAATTGATTCTGGCAATTATTAATTTATAATGAACTGTGAGCAAAATAGAGTTTGGAAATGGTTTGAGACTGGAATAAAGTTTGATCTTATGTACCTTTTCTCTTTAAACTAGAAAAGATATTATTTAAGGGTGAAATGGGAACTTGGCAATATAAAAGTCATTTAAGGAACTCGTAAGAAATTCTTTTGAGATGAGACGACCCATCATAAAAACTTGGAACTGAGCAAAGAAGATATGGGTGGCTCTAGATTGAGTTGTAAGTTTCTCCTACACAAATTGGGCACAATAGCACATACCTATAATCGTTGGGACTTGAAAGGATGAGATAGGAGGATCACAAGTTCAAGACCAGCCTGAGCAATTTAGTACAGCCCTAAGCAACTTAGCAAGATCTCGTCTCAAAATATAAAAAGAGCTKGGGTTGTGGTTCAGTGGTAAAGTGACCCTGGGTTCAATGTCCAGTATCCAAAAAAAAGATTGTTCTATACAGTCTGTAAGTACGCTTACTGCAATAATGTCCTTCAAACAAAGAATTTAGTCTGACAGGCTGAAGATACATCTCAGTGGTAGAAGATGTGTCTGTCATGCATGAGGCCCAGGGATCAATCCCCAGTACCACCCAAAAACAAAACAAAAAATGTGTGTGTGTGTCCACACACATTCTAACAGAATTAGAGATTTTATTAAAATGGTGAAAACTCCTAGACATTGTGGCACATACATATAATCCCAGCAGCTTGGGAGGCTAAAGCAGRAGGATCTGGAGTTCAAAGCCAGCCCCAGCAACTTAGACCCTATTTCTAAATATTTTTTAAGAGGGCTGGAGGCTGGGGCTATAGCTCAGTGGTAGAGTGCTTGCCTAGCATGTGTGAAGCACTGGGTTCAATCCTCAACACCACATAGATACAATACCTTTATTTATTTTTTTAACTATAATTTTTAAAAAGTGGGGGTGCTGGGGAATGTGGCTTGGCAGTTAAGCACCCCTGGGTTCAATCCCTGCTACCAAGAAAAAAAAAAAAAGTGAAAATTTAGAAGGAACATGAATATCCATTAGTGGAAGTAGATTAAATAGACTTTGGTATATCCATATATAGGATTATTACATTGTTTATTCTGTCACAATGTGTTACAGGTGTGTTTATTATAAATGATATGCATGTATATTGAGTCATAATCTAGTTATACAAAACTATCTACATTGTATCCTGTTTTTGAAAAAACAGACTAGCACAGATATTCCAGAAAAGTCTATACCAAAACATCCTGGAACTAATTCTGGTGAGATGACTAAAGGAGGTTCTTCTCAATTGGACTAAACTTCAGTTTTCTGGGTTTTCTAGGAAAATATTTTTTACATGACAACATGTTTGTTTATCTTAGTTTATTAAAATTTACATACAGTAGCCTGCATATACAGAATGCCATTAGAGAAAGTTCAGACTGTTGTGTAACTTGTGAAACCATTACCACAATAAAGTAAAAATACTAAGCATTTCCATCACCCCCCCAAATTGCCAGGTATCCGAGTCCCTCCTTTTAACCTCTCCTCACCCTCCTCAACCAGGCAAGCTGTAAATTGCTTTCTATCACTGTAGACCAGTATATATTTCTTAGAATTGTATATAAATGGAATTGTTACAATGTGTACTCCTCATGTATACCTTCTTTCACTCAATTAAGATTTATCCCTGTAGTTCAATGTGTAGTTTGTTCTTTTTTATTCCATTATATGGATTCATCACATTTTATCCATTTATCAGTTGATAGACATTTGGGTTGTTTAGTTTTTGACTGATAACCAAAGCTGCTGTGAACATTAATGTACAAGTCTCTGCATGGACATGTGCTTTCTTATCTCTTGGCTAAATACCTAGGTATAAAATGCATGAGTTGTATGGTAAATGTATATTTAATGTTTTGAAAAACTGCCAAACGCTTTTACAAAGTGTTCTATTTTACATTTCCACCAGCAGAATATGAGGGTTCTGCTTGTTCCACGTTCCTGTCAGCACTTGAAATGTTCACTTTTTAATTTTAGCCATTCTAGTAGGTGTGTAGTGATATCACATGGTCTAATTTGCATTTCCCTTTTCATGTGGTGTTTTTTGTTGTTGTTTTTAGTTTTTGTTTTTTGAGACAGGGTCTCTTGAAGTTACTGAGGCTGGTCTCAAACTTGTGATTCTCTTTCCTTAGCCTCCCCAGGTGCTGGGATTATGGGTGTACACCACCATGCCCACTCTTTTTTTTTTTTTTTGGTCTTTTTTTACTGTTTTTAAATACTCTAAATACAGATTCTTTTTTTTCTTTTTTTTTTAGTTGTAGATAAACATAATATCATTTTTATTTTTATGTGGTGCTGGGGACCGAATTCACGGCCTCACACATACAAGGCAAGCGCTCTACCACTGAGCTACAACCCCACCCCCAAATACAGATTTTTCATAAGAAATATGCCAAAAATATTTTATCATTGTTTGCTCTGTCTTTGCATTCTCTAATTGGTGTCTTTCAAACAATGGAAATTTTACATTTTAATCAAGCCCCATTTATTGTATTTTAAAATGGATCATAATTTCTTTGTCATGGCTGAAAAAGCTTTTCTTAATCCAGTGCCACAAAGATTTTCCTCGTTAGGCTTTACATTATATGTGTGATGCATTTTATTATTTTGTGTGTATGTCTATTCAATACCATCTACTGAAGAAAGACTTTTTAAGCAGTTTTTTTTTCCAAATACTGACACCTATTAGTTTTTTAGTAGATAAAACATTTGCTTTTATTTAAATTAGTAAGGTCTTATCAGATACTAATCACAAAAATGGTATAGTGTGAAGTACTTTTAGTGCTCCAAAGAGAAAAGACAGAAGTCTTACTTAAATAATACTGTATGAGTTACTATGAATCTGTTGATAAGCCCCATTACTTTTTTTCCAACCCTCCCCCTTCTACATCACCTAAAGAAAAATATCCTTATAGCTTTGGTTACCATTCTCTTTCCCTCATCTTTCCAGATCCTCGAGAGCGTGTGAAAGAAGACGACTTAGATGTTGTTCTCATCCCACAGAGACGAAGCTTTGGTGGGGGCTGTCATGTGACAGCTGCTGTTAGCTCCCGTCGCTCAGGAAGTCCATTGGAGAAAGAGAGTGACGGGCTTCGCCTGCTTGGTGGAAGAAGAATTGGCAGTGGGAGGATAATCTCTGCCCGGACCTTTGAGAAGGATCACCGTCTTAGTGATAAGGACCTACGCGACTTGAGAGACAGAGATCGTGAGAGGGACTATAAGGACAAGCGTTTCAGGGTTTGTTTTCTAGACCCTTTGACACCTCACATGTTTGGGGACTTAATATTAGAACCTAGATGAATATAGCCCACTTTTAACTAATAAACAAGGAGGAATAGATCGGGGTGGGCAGGGGGACATGGTGATGGGCTTCAAGTCCACAGCATAGTTTATTTATTGAAGTAAGCATTAGTTAATTTGTTAAGACTTTGATTAAAGTACAAATGTTTTGACTAGAATTTTTTTTCTTTTTTTTAAATCTTTTTGTACTTTTCCAGAGGGAGTTTGGGGATAGTAAGCGTGTCTTTGGAGAACGCAGAAGAAATGATTCATACACAGAAGAAGAACCAGAATGGTTCTCAGCTGGACCCACAAGTCAGTCTGAAACAATTGAACTGACTGGCTTTGATGATAARATACTAGAAGAAGATCACAAAGGTAGAAAAAGAACAAGGCGACGGACGGCCTCTGTGAAGGAAGGTCAGTATAAACTTTGGGAGGGAAGTTCACTTTTAAATGAGATGTGATTATCATTGGCTTAATTGCATACTTAGGAATGGGCACCTGTTGGTACAAAATGTAAAATTTATTATGTTGCAGTTTGATTTTTAAAATTGCTTCCTAAGCAAAATTTCACAATACTATCTTAACCTTTGCCTACTATACGAAACAGGTATTGTATTATCCTGTGTGCATTGTTTTTTTCATGAACACAATTCATGAAGTGTTCCTCAAGGTTGGTAAACATGGTGAAAATAAAGAGGGTTTTCAATTATGTACTAGACACAGTGGTACAGTGGTGTGTTGTTTCTGTATAATAAATCCTAACAACTCTGTGGTATGGGTTTTTTTKKTTKTKKTTKTKTTTTTTTTGTACTGGGGATTGAAACTAGGGATGCTTTACCACTGAGCTTAGTTGATGAGGGCCTCACTAAGTTGCTGAGGATGGCTTAGCCTTCCAAGTTGCTGGGATTACAGAGTGTGCCACTGTGCCAGGTAGTATAGGTACTTTTACGCCCATTTCACAGAATAGAACATAGAGGCTCAGAAGTCTTAAATGACAGAGACCACTTCCTCACCATGCTGATTGACCATCCCAGATCAGTCATTTGTGATTTACCTTCTCCCAAACTGTTTTATCGGCTGTTTGATAAGCTCCTTGCTAAACTGAAGGAGCCAGAGTTGATGTGTGTGAAGAGTCTGGTGCAACATAGGGGCACACTTGTTTTCAGGGCAGTGACCTGGCTGTAAGATGACYGTCCCTGTGCTGATGGTCTTGGCCTGGGGTTGTACTGGAGCTGCTGCAAAGAAAAGGATATTCCATAACATAATCTATGCTTTACTTTTTCTTTTTTAAATACCAGGGATTGAAGCCAGGAGTGCTTAACAACCAAGCCACATCCCCACCCCTTTTATTTTGAAACAGTCTCACTAGATTGCATATGGCCTCACTAAGTTGCTGGGGCTGGCTTTGAATTTAGGATAGTCCTACCTCAGCCTCCCAAGCCCCTGGGATTTCAAATGTGTGCCACCATGCCTACCTTAACATAATCTTAATGGGTAGACTTGTTTCTTTGTAAGKTGAAGACAATGTTTTGACATACCTATAAGAGTTGCTTTTAGCTGTAAAGATTAAATTTACACATCAGAGCTCAGCCTCTCCTGGACACCTATGCAGTACATTTTAATATTAAAGATTTTTTTTGTTGTTGTTTGCTTTTAATAAATGGATGAGCAAAGTACAGACTTTTTATGGCTCCCATATTACCCTTACAGTGGGAAATAAAACTGCAGCAAAATGCCTATTATTTGTCCTGAAGTTGGCAGTCAGGTTCTGGTGGATACAATGGGCCAAGGAGAAGCATACACTGATGAGGCTATTGAGTTTATTTTTGCTAGGGCTCAGTTTCTTTCTCCCCACCTCTCTCCCCTTACATTACTAGGAATTCAATCCAGAGTCTATGCATACTAGGCAAACACTCTACCAATGAGTTGTATCCTCGGCTCCTTTATCTTATTTTTAGACAGGTTCTTGCTGTGTTGCCAAGCTAGCCTCAAACTTGAGATCCTCTTGTCTCAGCCTCCCAAGTAGCTGGAATTACCGATGTGTACCACCATACCCAGCTTAAGGCTCAGTTTGTAAAGTGGAAATAATTCCTCCACCACAGCACTTGTTTTAGTTTAACTGTCAGTCTTTAAAAACTCACTGGAGAAACTGCCTATTGCTTTGTCCATGGCTTATAAAGGTGTCTCTCTCATTACCTGAGGACCCCTGAAGGATTAGGATTCTTAGCAGGCATCCCCATAGAGGAGACATGTAGCCTTATACACACAGTTTTATGTGGAAGAGTTTGGGTAGCTATCCTAGGCTTACTAGTATTGAGCAAGGCACTTATCTTTTGTGCTATTGTATTTCCCTGCTTTGCTATCTAGCTTCTTGGAGCGTTGTTGGAATTAAAACAGAAGTTAGCATTTAATTTCTGTTCTAGAATATCCAAGCTGATTAAAAATAACAAGACTACAGTATTTCTTGGGGAATTTTGAGAAGGGATAGGTCCAGGCTGTGTTTTGTTCTTTTTGTTTAATTTTTTTCCCTCGCTCTTAGAAAGATTCCTGTATGCCAGGATCTTGAAACTATAGGCAACTTTTTTAAGTGTCTTTGCAAGGGGTGAGTTCAGTTCTTAAAAGTGTTTAATGCTTGGTGTCTCTCATTGTACTTGTTCAGAGTTTGGCTTTGGTTTTTAGAGCACTTCCAAGTGACAGATTTTTGTTTGTTTTTGTTTGGTTGGTTGTTTTGTTTTGCTTTGCTTTTTGCCTATACTTTGGCAAAAATTAAGATGTGAAATTAATTAGATGTTAGTACCTGGTAGCTTTACTTACCCATGTATTGCCATCTTAAAAATATAACTGAACAGTTCTGAGGTTACTCTATAATCTGGCACTGTAGAGTAAGACAAAGCTGATTCGAGCAGATTACCTAGCCTTAGATCAGTTTCATCACAGAGTTGCTATAACATAGTGTAGTAAGCCAGTCACAGTGGCACACACCTGTAATCCCAGCAGCTTGGGAGGCTGAGGCAGAAGGATCATGAATTAAAAGCCAGCCTCAGCAACTTAGTAAGACCCTAAGCAACTCAGTGAGACCCTGTCTCTAAATAAAGTACAAAAAAGTGCTGGGAATGTGACTCAGTGGGTAAGTGCCCCTGAGTTCAATCCCTGGTATCAAATACACACACACACACACACACACACACACGCACGGTGTGATAAGTGCTCTGAGAGAGAATGCAAGGATTATAGATAAGGCAATAATTAATTTACTGCACAGAGTGCAAAAAAAGATAGAGCAGACTTACCAGAGGAGGTAACATTTAAACTTTGCCTTGAAGGACAAGCTGTCACCAATCGTAGGCAAAAGATTTACCCTAGCTGGACACAGTGACAGTTTCTATAATCTCAGAAACTGAGGCTGAGGCAGGAGGATGGCAGTTTTGTGGGCAGCCTCAGCAACTTGGCAAATCCCTAAGCAACTTAGCAAGACACTGTCTCAAAACAGTAAAAAGGGCTGGGGATGTAGATCAGTAGTAAAGCACCCCGGGTTCAATACACAGTACAAAAAAAAAAAAAATTGCTCTTGTGCAGGTTTTACATAAATACCTTAGGTTGTTGAACCCTGACTTTAGTGGTGGTATGGATGCATTGGCAGAGCCAAAATAATTTGGTTCCACTTAAGAGTAAAAGACTCGTAAAGAATCTTTAAAAAAAAAAAAAAAAAGGATAGAAAAAGAATCCACTACAGTGTTAGAAAATTGAAGTACTTAAGAGGGGGACCATAATCTTTCCCCTATCATGGTGGAATTCTGGCATTTTTCCTCTTCCAACTCCCAGAGGGGTCATTTTTACTGTTGAAAGTACAGTTCTTGTGCAAAAAAATCTGCTTTTAAAGTTACTTGCAGCTCAACAGGCATGGTGCAAACACCTGTAATTCCAGTGACTCAGGAGGCTGAGGCAGGAAGATCACAAGTTTGAGGCCAGCTTCAGCAGTTTAGCAAGGCCTTGGTGAGACCCTGTCTCAAAACTTAAAAAAAAATTTTAAAAAGCTGGGGATGGACATGCCTCTGTGGTAAAGCACTTCTGGGTTCAATCTTTAGCACCAAAACAAAAGCTACTTGTGGCTCTTCTATATGTGTGAAGATGGCCAAGACCACAAAGTAAGACTGGAGTGGTTCTCTTCATCAGACTGTTTTGTCCTGGTTTTGCTTTCAGGCATAGTTGAGTGCAATGGAGGAGTAACCGAGGAGGATGAGGTGGAAGTTATCCTCACCCAGGAGCCTACTGCTGATCAGGAAGTGCCAAGGGATGCCGTCTTGCCTGAGCAGTCCCCAGGAGAATTTGACTTTAATGAATTCTTTAACCTTGATAAGGTGCCATGCTTGGCTTCGGTGAGTGTAGCAGTGCACTTGTAAATATGAATGGAGCAACAAATGGTATTTAAGATTTGTTTGTTTGTTTGTTTGTTTGTTTGTTTTTGAAATGAGATCTTGCTGCACTGCCCAAACAGGCCTCAAACTCCTGAACTCAGGTGATTCTCCTGTTAAAATGTTGTTTTGCTAGATGCTATTGAGGTTTTTGGCTTTTATTCTCAAATATTTCGATTTTTATTAGGGTTTTTTGTTTTGTTTTTAAAGGCTTAATGGAAATTATTAAAAGATGATTGTGTACCAGTTAACTTTTTCTAGGTTGTTAGCATTTTAGTAAAAACACTTCAAATGTTTAAGAATATTGCTTCCTTTAACTTTGGGGGTAAGGTGGGATGTTTTTGTTTTTTGAGCCAGGGTCTCACTGTGCTGTCCAGGCTGGCCCTAAACTACAGGGTTCAAGTAATCTTCCTCCTGTTTTAGCCTCCCAAGCAACTGGGAATACAAGCACCATGTCTGATTATCTTCTTTCTTTTCTTTTTCTTTCCCAGGGATTGAACCCAGGGGCACTTTTACCACTGAGCCACATCCTCAGCCCTTTTTTATATTTTATTTACAAACAGGGTCTCACTGAGTTACTTAGGGTCTCACTAAGTTTCTGAGGCTAGCTTTGAATTCTTAATTCTTATACCTGAGTCTTCTGAGTGGCTAGGATTTCAGGCATGTCCCACCACATAAAGCCAAATTCTTTTATTTCTAATTATTTGTCTTAAGACTTATTGTGAAGTGCCTTTTTTTAAATTACTCTTGATTTGTGTACACCAACCTGCATTCCTTGGGGGAGTCTATCTGCTTAGATGGTACCATTTGTGATATGATAATGCTAAAAATCTTTAGTAAAAAGAACCTGGGATACTGTATGCATTGCCATTAAACTCTTTTGAGTATAGTGTTTCTGGACTTCTAAAGTAGAAACTATAAGCCATCCCTAATCTTTGCTTGCTACTTACCCTTGTTCTTGTCCCTTTAACATTTATGAATTACTATAACCCCACTGAATTTTTGGAGAAGGGTTATAACTATAGACTGTGTGCATAGAAATGTTTTTTTCTGTGGGATTTTTGTTGTTGTTTTTGGTACCAGGGATTAAACCCTGGTGCTCAACCACCGAGCCACATCCCCAGCCCTTATATTTTATTTAGAGACAAGGTCTTGTTAAGTTGCTTAGGGCCTCACTAAATTGCTGAGGCTGGCTTAAACTCACGATCCTCCTGCCTTAGCCTTGAAAGCCACTTGGATTACAGGCGTGTGCCACCATGTATGGCTTTTTGTGACTCTTTTAAAAAGAGTGTGTAGAACCATGATACAGTAAATTTTTTTTTAATTTCTGTTTTTTCTTCATGTCCTATTTATAACACTAAATACATGAGTTCACTATTCCTGTAGAACTGGTCATTCACAGAATTTAACTTAAAATAATTCTACTCTTTAACTGTTGCTGCTCCTTATTTGATGACTGCATGCACAGAAAAAAATTGGGCACAACAGAGCAGACAAAATTGACCTGTCTTCTTTGTCGTTTTCTTGTTCCCCTACACTCAAAAGATGGCCACCCAGAATAAGTGAGCTGGCACTGCACAGCACTGATTAGATACAGGGCCACAGGTGAGTTCTAGGACAATACTTACTAAATTCTCTGTGGTAAAGGGCCAGGTTTTATTTCTGGAATTAGTTAGTATGAAGTATGTCACAGGGCTGGGGTTGTAGCTCAGTGGTAGAGTGCTTGCCTGGCACATTTTTTAAAATACATGTCACAGCAAATATCAAATTCTTGTAAGAGTTTCTAAGCATTTACTTTTACTTTCTGAACATATGTTAATGTAAACCAGTATGAGCAAAGAATACATTTGTCTGTAGCATTGTTCAGGAATATGTGGAATGTGTATCCAAATCAAACATGGCAAGTGTTTGCTCAGTTTTGTTCCTGAAGTTCTAGCAGCAATTTTAATTGTAAGTTTTCTACCCAGATACATCATAAAGTCTCCTAACCAATAATCCTTTGGTTCACTCCAAACACAAAGGTCTTTTCCAGATGTGAGATTTATTTGTTTGTTTGTTTTTAAAAAAATTTTTTTAGTTGTTGGGTCTTTTTTATGTTATTCATTTATTTATATGTGGTGCTGAGAATTGAACCCAGTACCTCACACATATGAGGCAAGCGCCATACCACTGAGCCACAACCCCAGCCCCGAGCTTAATTTATTTGATGTAAAATGGAGTGGTCCTTCTCTAATTCTTTAACTTCTGATGATACCGTGTTTTGGGGTTTTTTGGTTTTTTTTTTTACATCAACTGTTGAGTGACTTTTTTCTTTTTTTTTTTTTTTTGCATTCTCTTAGAAGACAGATGGAAATCATATTATCAAATGTTTTCACAGCAGATCAAATTTTAGAGACCTGTACTTGACTCCAAATGTGAGCACCTGCAAAATTCATGTGTGTGCCTAGGCAGAGGAAGAATTCACTTTTTCACTTAAAATGCTAAACTTAAACTTTTAATAACAACAGGTAACATGCATGCAGTGCTGATTGCTTAAGGCTTTACATATAGTAAGTCATTTAATCTTCATAGATCTCTTATAAATTAGTTAGTTGTTTCCATTTTACAGGTGAGGAAGTAAAAGTTTAAATAACTTGCACAAGGTAACCCAGCTAATAAGTGCTGGAAACTGAACCCTAACAGTTTTATTTAAGAAAGAATTTCTGCTCTTAACTCATCACAACTATACTCTCTCTGAAACATAAGAGGGAGGAATAGTCATCTTAACTTTTTGTTCTCATCCCCAGACAAAACCTTGGCTAATGGTGAGCAAATTGGTACTAGGCCAGAGTATCTGTCTTCAAATTTTTCATGGAGTAAATACTCATTAACCCACTTTGTCCCATCGTCCCAGATATGGAACACACAAAACCTTAAATATGGTACATATTATATAATATGTAACATAAGTAATGGTAATACAATAGTTTATGTTATATATATAATTTGTACATTATGATTTCCAACCTATTTTAATGAACTGTGTCAGTGTTGTTGAAATATTTGCAGAATTGAATACTTGGGACTTAATGATTGTTTCGGGTATATATTTTATAAAAGATTCACTTTAAAGCCAAACTGGGATTAATAAAAACAGATGCTCTGATTGTGCCACATAACCAGCTGAACCCTAGTATACAATACTGAGAAAATGACTAATTGGGAAAAGTATGAAAGAGTGTAAAGGATTTGAATGTCAATTGGCAAATGTATAAAGTGCTTAAAACGGTAAGCAACACACAGTAAGCTCCTCAGATATTGGATGTTAATAAATAGAAACAGAAATCAATGACCGAACCGAAAATACAGTTTTTATAACGTGACTGTATAATAAGCCACAAGAAAAATCTTAAATAATGCATTAGTTCAGAAGTATTTATCAAGCAACTGTAGTACCTGGATACTGTTCAAGGAACTGAGGTTACATGAGAACACAAAGATCCTGTCCTTACAGAACTTTTTAGCAGAGGAAACAGGTGAGAAATCAGAATATACACACACACATATATACATGTGTATATATTTGTATGCTATGTTCACTGGCATTGCAGTACCTTAGAAATTGACAAGTTGGCAGCCACAGAAATCTACACAAACTGAAAATGTGGATCACATATGCAAATAATTTGTTAAATACGTAACTGAAAGGTTTAAAATAGATGCAATACTTCCTGGCATGGTAGTGTACACCTGTAATCCCAAGTGACTTGTAAAGCTAAGATGGGAGGATCACAAGTATGAGGCCAGCCTCATAATTTATTGAGGCCTAAGCAACTTAACAATACTGTCTCAAAATAAATAAAAAGGGCTGGGGATGTGGCTAAGTGGATAAACACCCCTAGGTTCATTTGTACAAAAAATAAAATAGATGCAACTCTTAACTAATACTGTCTGACACCTAACAGGGCTTAAATATGTTGAGTGAAGAAAAAGATGACATAGAAAGATCTCGTTGATGTAATCAAAAGATGCTCAAAACAAAATGTGAAGAAATCAATAAACTAGAGTAAAACACAAAAATGTAATTTCCTTAAAGTGGAAAGCATAAAGGAAACCAAACATCAGTCAGTAGAACTGAGTAATTATCAAAGAACAAAAATATTTCATGATATATTTGCTTATCAGAATATTATGAATCCAGGGATATGACTTGTCTAAATGACCATTGTTTGAAGGACCAAACTAATAGTCACAACAGTCATGTAAAAATGCTATTGAAGCTGAGCATGGTGGCACATGCCTATAATCCCAGCAGCTGGGGAGGTTGAGGAAGGAGGATCACAAGTTCAAAGCCAGCCTCAGCAACTTGGCAAGGCTCTAAGTAACTTAGCAAGACCCTGTCTCTACAATAAAATACAAAAAAGAGCTAGGGATGTGGCTCAATAGTTAAGTGCCCATGGATTCAATCCCCAGTACCCAAAAAAAGAAAATGGTACAGAGAATTTACTAACAAGTGAAACGACCAGAATACAGAGTTCTCAGACTCCTTGATCCACTGGTGGCCGACAAGGACATAGCAGAGGATGCCCTGACCTAAGAGTTGGAGCTGTTTCCATTACTCCATTTCATTTGCCAACATATAGGAGAGAGTTTCTGTCATTAGAGTGTCCCAGCTTGCTCTATTATGAAAATTACTAAATAGATTAAACTCTTGGTTTAAATTGCTTTAGTTTCTTAGTATTTCTGCAAAATTTTTCTAAAAGTAAGTTTGTACTCTTGAACTATGCTTTAAAATTTGCTTATCCACTGAAGCAAAATTAGTGACTGATCAAAATATAGAAATGACTTTCTCTATTTCTTCAGTCTTTAGAAAATGTCCAGATACTTCTTGTCCTTTGCTTTTTCGTGTTCTTTTTGTATACCTTGTGGCTTTTTTCCTGTGTGACATAATCAGAGGAAATAAAGAAAATGCAAAGCTACCATTTTTGCTATTTGTAAAACTTCAAAATTTCTTCAACACAAACCATAATCATAGCTTTTAATTACTACTTTTACAGTTCCTGTTGTTTTGATTACAATCCTTAATTTTTCCACTGTGAAATGTCATAATGTTTATCCTACACTTTAATTAATGCAAAATTAGTGCACTCAAAAGTCATATGTAAGGCATGAGAGTCTACAAGTAGAATGTGATTGAAACTGTCTGAATAATTTCTCTGAAATAGAAGTTCCAGAAACAATCAAATTAGGGTCTTCAATTAAAATCCCTTCAAGAGAAAAATTTTATGATTTAGTTTGGATATAGATTATGAAAACATTCTTCTAGATAAGAACAAAAACTTAAATCTAACCATCCCCTGCTGCAATTCTGTCATGCATAAAAACCAGTTTGGGCTGCGCATGGTGGTGCACTCCTATAATCCCAGCAGTTCAGGAGGCTGAGGCACAAGGATCTCCGGTTCAAAGCCAGCCTCAGCAATGGAGAAGCGCTAAGCAACTCAATAAGGGACCCTGTATCTAAATAAAATACAAAATAGGGCTGGGGATGTGGCTCGGTGGTGGTGTGTTCCTGAGTTCAATCCCCAGTACCCAATAATAAATAAAGACCAATTTGGACATTTAACTGAATTTATAATAGGGTAGAATTAAAAGTTCGAATTTTAAAAATACCTTAAATCTAGCTTTTCAAAGATTGGTGATAGAGGGGCTGAGGTAGTTCAGTGGCAGAGCGCTTGCCTAGAATGTGTGAGGCCCTGGGTTGGATCCTTAGCACCACATAAACAGAATGCTTCTATTTATTTTTATCTACAACTACCAAAAAAAAAAAAAATGGTGCTAGAAATGACTTATGAAATATGGTGGAAAAAAATTTCTGATCATAGTGCATCACTTAATTGTCTCTATTAAACCAAGTCTATGGAGATTGATTTGAAAGAAAACAAATACCTATAAATTTCCCATTAAGCTCAAACAGAAATTAGATATCAGTTAAAATACCATCTTTAAGCTCTGCTTTTACACCTTCATTCCTGAATTTGTTAGGACTGAATTTTGTGGTATTCCTTAAAACTTAAAGACCATCAAGATTGAACCAAGGATTTTCAATTCTCCATGGATTCTTGGTGTTTAGTTAAAGGTTACTTATTACTGGCAGTGGAATACTTCATTCTGGTACTGATTTTTGTTTTTCAACTAAGTCCTCTGAGAACATTTGATAGGACTTAGATTTTCTAATAAGGTAAAGGATAGAAAATCATAACACTGTGTGTGGCCTAGAGACTTCATTATATATTCTTAGAAAGTGCATAGTTGGTTATCCCCAAATTTGAGTTACTCAAAAATGACCAAGAAAGGGGAAGAAAATTGAAGATTCAAAATCCTAAGTTTAAGGGGTAGGAAGCATCAAAGGAAATTTCGAAGAAAGTGATCCTTTCTTAAAATTTGAACTTTCTTGTCTTTTTTTTTTTTTTTTTTTTTTTGGTCTAGAAACTATTAGCATCTTTTGTCTTTTTCTTCAGATGATAGAAGATGTTTTGGGAGAAGGGTCAGTCTCTGCCAGTCGGTTCAGTAGGTGGTTCTCTAACCCCAGCCGATCAGGAAGTCGATCCAGCAGCCTTGGGTCAACACCACATGAAGAGCTGGAGAGACTTGCTGGTAAAATAGCTTCAAATTCTGGCTTTATATATAAACTCTAGCTTTCTCTGACATGGTTCATTTTGTCTTCATTAGTTAGGGGTTCTTTAGGGTTAGAGGGTCTCTGCATGAAAAGCCTTTAATTTGTGTCCCTTTAATACTATTCTTGATGTTTCCATCCTACTAGAACCAGTTATGTATACGTTTGTTTGCAATATCAGGTCTGGAGCAAGCCATCCTCTCTCCTGGACAGAACTCGGGGAATTATTTTGCTCCTATACCATTGGAAGACCATGCTGAAAATAAAGTGGATATTTTAGAAATGCTACAGAAAGCCAAAGTGGATTTAAAACCTCTTCTTTCCAGCCTTTCTGCAAATAAAGAAAAACTTAAAGAAAGCTGTAAGTGTTTGAGAATCTGCTTTAGATATCTGAAAAAGTTTGGATTGTCTTAAGGCAATTGGTTTTAACATACTGCTATTTCATCAAGACGAATATATGGTGATTTTTTTTTTTCTTAATGATGTTCAAAAGGATTTATTTTATCATTTTTGAGAATCTGATAGTGGTTCTTGACCCTATAAGAACTTTTCATCCAAGTTATTCTTACATAGGACCCAGTTGTAACACCTCAGTGAATATTTTTAATCCTCCCAAGGCAGTTCCTCACAACTCTGCCTCAATTTGCCATGTTCATACTTATGTTAAAAGCCCTTGGCATAACAATTTGGTACTGTAATAATTACAGTGCAGGTAGCAATTTTGCTGACGTTAGGCTATCTGGATTCCTATCCCTGGTAACAAGTCTCCAAAAGATTAATATTATTCTGCAGGACACACAGCAGTATTGTGTCAAGTTTTAAAACTTAGTACCTCATGGTTATGGTCCCCCAGTTTATAGCATCTAAACATTTTAGGTTTAGTTTATATGCCATCTTTTACTGAGTACATGGTTATAACTTTATTTCCTCCTACTAAACAACTATGAGTTTTTTGTTTGTTTGTTTGTTTGTTTTTTTAAAGAGAGTGAGAGAGGAGAGAGAGAGAATTTTTATTTATTTTTTAGTTCTCGGCGGACACAACATCTTTGTTGGTAYGTGGTGCTGAGGATCGAACCCGGGTCGCACGCATGCCAGGCGAGCGCGCTACCGCTTGAGCCACATCCCCAGCCCCCAACTATGAGTTTTAAGTGTTTTCAGTTTGTCTATTTTCAGTATCAGCCTTTTCTGACAGCTTCACTTCAGTTATGAAATAAATTATCTTCCCTTTAACCATCATGATAGCTAAAGAGAATTTCTCCCAAATATCCCTTCTTGGTTTAACCTGGACTTTCTTAACTTTCAGCACATTCAGGGGTTGTGCTTTCAGTGGAAGAGGTAGAAGCAGGGCTCAAGGGTTTGAAGGTGGACCAACAAGTAAAGAATTCAACTCCCTTCATGGCAGAACACTTAGAGGAAACCCTGAATGCTGTAACCAGCAATCGACAACTCAAGAAAGACGGAGATATGACTGCGTTCAACAAACTAGTGAGCACTATGAAGGCAAGTGGGACTTTGCCTTCTCAGCCCAAAGTCAGTGTAAGTATTTGGAGCAAATCTCACCAAGCTTTTTCTCCTTTTCCATCTTTGTTTTACTTCCCATAACAATAAGTGGAATTTTAAAAAGGTATTCCGAGTAAGTTGGAAATTCTTTAGTAGTTGTTTGGTCCTTGATGCTTTTGTGCATTAATTATCAATATGTTATTTGTTACTACAAAAGCAGAATTGTGGCTTGTATGTATGTATTGTGGGTGATAGTAAAAAGAGTGAAAGATCGATTCTTACACAATACCTACATAACTGTATTAAAGCCACAGCTAAAATATATTTGTATAAAAACTATCTTTTTGCATAAACTCCAGAGATGGTTTTCTGGTTATTTGGCTACTTAAGTTCACATAACTTGCTATATTTTTGTAATATAATTTTTTTTACAGTAATTATTCTCAGATACCTAGGATTACCTGCTTTCTGGATAAGGAGTTGGCAATCATACAAATTATTAAAGTATTAAGATGGATTTTTTTAATGACAGTTTTACATTCTGTTAATTTACTAATATGGCAAAGGATATGATTCCAGATTTCTTTTTAACTTTTAGGCATTAGGTTATTAATAAGGTGGATGCATTTTGGTAAATACCATACACTGGTCTTTGTCACAAAAATGTTTTTTTGAGAGTGGTTCTCTGCCATGGTCTATGTGTTAATATCACTATCTCTTGGTGATACAAAGGGGAATCTAGGTAGAACCAAATAATAAAAACATAGATTTATTCTAATTGCTTAGTTAGCAAATTTTTCAAAATTGAATTTTGCCTCTTTCTCTCCTGACCCTGTCTGAGAACTACAAGTAGTGGTATGAACAGCAATTTGAAGGCAAAGTTCCACTTGCCTTCATAGTGCACCCTAGTTTGTTCGCTAAGTCTTGTACCAGGGGAGGACAACTGATTTTTAGATTTCCTTATCTAACCAACAGTCAGTGATAGAGGCTTCAGCCTGCTCAAACAGGTGCCATTATTCGTGACCTTAATAGACTTCTTTATATCAGACTATACCATATCATTCATATATATATATATATATATATATATRTATGTATATATATATATATTATTTACATACTATACCCAATTACAGGGGAATAATTTCGCAAACTGCTCCAGTTGTTTTCATACAAATAAATCATAGATCCAAATGCTTTTATATAAGGACCTGATTAAAAACTATCCTCTACATTTGTGTCAGTGATTGGGTGCTGACTGCAGTTCTATTGGTCAGATCTTACAATTAGCTTTTTTTCTTTTAGTGTGACTAAGGAAATGGAGGCAGAGGAAGTCAGCAGTTTGTTTTAATACTATGATTCCAGAATACTGACACAGCTGACCCAGAGTTGTGAGGGCACTTGGTTTAATGTTGGAGTTTCAGTGCTCTAAAGTGTATCTGTTTTCAACTGGAGGAATCAACCTAAAATACTTGTCAAAGGGATGGATGATATAATTCAAGTGGCTAGGCAGAAAGTAATACAAATTCAGCCTAACCTCAGAAAAAAAGCAAGGAAAGTCATGAAATAAGCATGCCAGGTGTTATCTTTCGTTATATACATACATATATACACACACACACACACACACACACACACATATATTGTTGTAGATGTATACAATATCTTTATTTTATTTTTATATGGTGCTTAGTATCGAACCCTGTGCCTCACATGTACAAGGCAAGCTGAGCCACAACCCCACCCAGCCCCTGGATATTTTTATTTATTTATTTATTTAGCAGCTGAGAATCAAACCCAGTGCCTCACACATGCTAAGTAAGCACTCTGCCACTGAGTTACAACCCCAGCCCTCAGCTGTTATCTTTATTGCTTGATTCACACATGTTGTAAGGTCCTGTCTGCTTCTAAAATGAAAGTTCTTACAACTGCTATTTGTTGTGTGTACTATTTCTCATCTGCCTTCAACCAGGTTGAAGGTTCAGTCATATTGTTCATCCCCAAAGTAAGATGTTGATTCAATCTAAACTCTATTTTAAATAGAATTGTAGGCTCTATTCTATAAATATAGTAAGCCACGAAGTGTAAGGTTGCCTCTTTGTTTTAGTTAGATGTAATTAAATAACTATTGAGAATATTACTTATTATAATCATGTGCTTTTAGTCCCAGTTCCAAAACCAACAATAAAACACTTGAGTAACTTTAGGCTATTTGTTGTACCCAGGACAATACTGTGGGTTTTGACAGATCTAACTAGTGGAAAGAAAAGTATTCAGAGAAAGCACTTCAGGTTGAATGGACACTGGGATGTACTGAAGTGGAGGATTTGACTTGCCCTGTACGTGTGACCCATTTTGAACAGCTTATTTAGAAGTAATAAAATTCAAGGCTGGGGACATGGCTCAGTGGTATAGTGCTCACCTAGCTGCATGAGGCTCTGGGTTTGATCCCCAGCACCACAAAAACATTAATGTTGCAACTTCCTGAAATACAAAATCTTGAAATATAATAGTTTCAACCAAATTTGCATGTTATTTACTATAATTTAAATACCATCTGTGGTCAGTAAATCTTATTAAAGCTAATGGGTAGCAAGGATTGCCTCAAATTTAAATATGAATTATCAAAATTTCTTGTGGCTCCTTACTAAGAGGTAAATGATGGCAATCTTCAATGCCTCCATTTTATTTTCCCCTCTTTTGATTGGAAATAGTGAAATGGATCAGAATTAGCATCAAAAGGATCTCAGAGTGGATTCTGTATGTGCATGTAAATATTCTTTCCATTCCTAGATCTTTGGGGCATGTATGATGAGAGAGAATAAGTTGGTCTGAATTTTTTGTGAGTTAAACATCTTTCTCCTGTTGAGTGTCAACTCCCTTGGGAGTGTCTAATATTATCTTATGGTCCCCAATCTCTACTGTGTTRAGACACTTAAGCCAGCACACCTGTAATTCCAGCTACTCAGAGGACTGAGGCAGGAGGATCACAAGTATGAACCAGCCTGGGCAACTTAGCAAGACTCTGTTGCCAAAAAATAAATAAATTAGGGCTGAGGTTGTGACTCAGTGGTAGAGTACTCGCCTAGCATGTGTGCGGCACTGGGTTTGATCCTCAGCACCATATAAAAAAGTTAATAAATAAGCAAAAGATATTGTAGCCATCTACAACTTTAAAAAAGGCAGGAATGGGAATGTAGCTCAGTAGAGCACTTGCCTAGCTTACATGAAACTGAATTTGGTCCTCAATACCACAAAAAAAAAAAAAAAGTTAAAACCAGTGTTTCTTTGACATTTTTAGCGAAACCTTGAAAGCCATTTGATGTCCCCTGCTGAAATTCCAGGCCAGCCTGTTCCTAAGAACATCCTGCAGGTATGTTACAATCTTATACTGAGGCCTCAGAGTCTGAACAGTAGTACTCATTTTGTGTAGTGGTCACCCATCTTTGGGCCTTAGAGATGTTGTCTGGCAATCAAAGATGTAATGTTGTTTGGTAGTTCTGTGTTGCTGCTGAACTCAAAATGGGTTAAGGAGAGGAGGGAGACTTTAAAAGAAAAAAATAAGCCCTTGTTTTCTGGTTTACAAGTTTGTAATTTCTGTAGAGAAGAGTACCTAACCTGTAGTTGTAACTTAAATGTTGCTAGTTGAGCATTCAGAGGAATGTATTGCATGTACACATGCCAAGACATTCCATAGAACATGAAGGAGTTTCATCATCTAGCTTCCAGAAATTAATCCGTAATCCACAGTTTTTCACTAGAAGAAAGAACTAGGTTTATTAACAGGGATTTGTTTTTGGTGTTTGCTTGTCTTGTCTTAGGAACTTCTGGGTCAACCAGTTCAGAGACCTGCTTCTTCCAATCTTCTGAGTGGCCTTATGGGGAGCTTAGAGCCTTCTGCATCTTTATTGGGCCAAAGAGCATCCTCTCCTCCCATGTCACAAGTGTTCCAAACTCGAGCAGCCTCAGCAGACTACCTTCGCCCAAGAATACCGTCACCAATTGGTAAGTAGTCTCCCCCATCCCCTCCCCCGTATGGGGGCTTGAACCCAGGGGTGTTTTGCCACCAAACTACATCTCTAGATATAGAATTTTTTATTTTGAAATATGGTCTTGCTAAATTGCCCAGGCTGACCTCAAACTTGTGATCCTTCTTCCTTACCCTCCTGAGTCATCYGGAGTACAGGCATGTGCCACTGTGCCCAATGTGACAGTCTTTTTCAGGGATATTCTTTTTTTTTTCTTTTTTAATTGTTGTAGATAGATACAATATCTTTATTTATCTTTGTATGGTGCTGAGGATGGAACTCAGTGCCTCATACATGCTAGGCAAGCTCTCTACCACTGAGCTACAACTACAGCCCATTCGTGGACATTCTTAATGAGTTTTCAAAAATTGTGTAGCCAGATAACGGTGGTGCATGCCTGTAATCCCAGCAGCTCGGGAGGCTGTGACAGGAGGATCGAGAGTTCAAAGCCAGCCTCAGCAAAATGGTGCTAGGCAACTCAGTGAGACCCTGTCTCTAAATAAAATACACAATAGGAATAGGGATGTGGCTCAGTGGTTGAGTGCCCCAAGTTCAATCCTCAGTACCAAATATACACACACATGTAAATATATTACAATTTTCGGAGGAAGGTGTGAGATTAAAAAAGTAGAAGACAGTTTGTTATCCAACTGCCTTTCTAGATAACTATAGTCATGGGATTTTTTTTGTTGTTGTTGTTTTTGTTATTGTTTTTTTCTTCTCAAAATTATTAGGTATCTCAACCCAAAAAAGTAATTTTGACTTTAGACTTGTCCTTAATAAAGAAATCAGAATAGTGGCTCTCTACCAAATTATTGAAGTTGATTGATTTAATTCAACTGTGAAGTCTTGTGGCTAATTCAGAATAAAGAAGCACTTCCAGAAAGCAATTCTAGCAAAGTATGCTAGTGTTCCTGTAATTCTGGAAACAGTGTAGGCTGCTGGCCAATCATACCTTGACAGTCAAGTTTTGAAAACATTTATCTACGGTCAGGAAGATAGAACTCTATGAAAAGATTGTGACCCTAAGAGGATGCTACTTTGGTACTAGTGAGCATTGCCAAATTGMTGGTTATGCTGGCTGAGTTTTCTGCCTTTGAGATATTGGCTCTGAAAGGAACAACAGTGACTGATTAATGAGAAAGATGGATATACCAGCAGTTTGGGCAATGAAGAGCTCTGGTTTGAGTTTCACATAGCCTACTGTGGTAGGATAGAGGAAGAGGCTATCAGCCTAGAAAAGTCAGTACTTCTCAAAAATTATGCTACTCAGCAAGGAGCAGCATGCATTAGGGATAATACAGCCATGATGTGTGAACATTTGCTTGACACTCATTGATTCTATAACTTTCTCATCAGGTTTCACACCAGGACCACAGCAGCTACTTGGAGATCCATTCCAAGGCATGCGCAAGCCCATGAGCCCTGTCACAGCCCAGGTCAGACTGGGCTATTTCTCAAACCCAATCTGTTGCTTTCTTTTTCAACCCTATTAATTATGGGGTGGAGAATTGAATTGCTACAATTTTCTGAAGTGATTTGGCAGCAATAGAACTTTATTGTATGTTTCATAGTGATGCTATATATTTCAAGTTCTGTGAAGGCTAGAAAATTACTGAGTAATTAAACTAATACTTATGTTTGGCAGCATAATTTAGTCACGTTTTCTCATCTGCTAYGTAAAAGTACCTTTTTAAGAGGAAAGAGACCCCTGTAGAAAGTACATTGACTATCTTTTTTTATTTTGCTGACCCTCCCCTGCCATTTCTGTTCAGCAGATGAGCCAACTCGAATTGCAACAGGCAGCTTTGGAGGGGCTGGCCCTACCACATGACCTTGCAGTGCAAGCAGCAAGTTTCTATCAGCCTGGTTTTGGCAAACCACAGGTGGACAGAACCAGAGATGGATTCAGAAACAGGTAAATTACTAATCCAACCTGTGAAGATTTGGGTGATAATTTGTGAATATAGTTTTCCTGAGATTAGTAAGTTAGTTATTCACAGTACAGTTCTGTTGCACATGCTGATATGTTATAAACAAATAGAAGGAATTCCATCCCGCTGCAGATATAGGGAATATGATCGCATTCTGCTGAAGGGACATCTGGTTTTTTTCCTGCATGGCTTTTATAAATTAGTTTTTATGGTTTCATTTTGCTAATTAGTTATATAGAAGAGATATCTGCCTACCTGATTTACCTTACAATTTTGTTAAGAGTAAATACATTTAAAATCTCAATGATGTTTCTGMCAGTTAAAGGATTCATTTTTATAGGTGTGAATAGCATAGCTTCTTATTTGTTTTGTTTTTGTGGGGCTGGGGATTGAACCCAGGGCCTTGTGCATGCGAAGCAAGCACTCTACCAACTGAACTATATCCCCAGCTCTATAGCTCCTTATTTGAAGTCATACTTTTGAGATGATAAAAAGCAAAACTCTACCCTACTTCACCACAGATTCCATGTTGTGTTATCACACTGTATCAATACCAGATTGTTACATCAAGAGTTTATTGGTTAGATTTGATGGGCTTGTTGACTAGAGCTGTTAACAAGTAATTATTGACTTCACTATCTTTCTCTTTTTCGTGGTGCTGAGGATTGAACCCAAGGCCTTGTGCATGCAAGTCAAGCACGCTACCAACTGAGCTATTTCCCCAGCCCATTCTTTTTGTAGTTGCAACAAGTGGTAAATGAAATGAACCATAAGTTTGGGAGGAATGGGAATGGAGTAGCAATATTCTTCTTTTTTTGCAAAATCCAAGAGATACAGAAAATTGCATAAAACAAATGTGCAGCTTATGATAAATTAAACCCCCTTGTTAATTACCCCAGAAACCTTCCATGTGCCCTATGCTAATCATACATCTTTTCTCCCTCAGAAGTGACAACTGTTTATCCTCTAAAGGTAATCACTACTTTGCTGGGTATAGTGGCACATACCTGTAAACCCAGTGACTCAGTAGCCTGAAAGAGGATTGCAAATTTAAGGCCAGCCTGTTAGCAAGGTCCTGTCTCAATAAAAAGGGTTGGGCTGTAGTTCAGTGGTAAAATACCTCTGGGATCAGAGTGGTGGGGGGTAGGGAGGGGTAATCACTACCTTAATATATTGAATTTTATCACAAAAATGTGTGTCTTTGAACATCACAGTTTAGTACTGCCCATATGATATTTAAGTATTTGTTGCTGGGTGTGGTGGCACACGCCTAGGATTGTGAGTTCAAAGCCAGCCTCAGCCACTCAGTGAGACCCTGTTAAATAAAATACAAAAAAGGGCTGGGGATGTGGCTCAGTGATTAAGTGCCCCTGAGTTCAGTCCCTGGTACCAAAAAAAATACATACACACACACACACACATAAAATTTGTTGTTGTTTTTGTGTTTTTGTTTTTAAAGAGAGAGAATTTTTTAATATTTATTTTTTGGTTTTCAGAGGACACAACATCTTTATTTTCTTTAATGTRGTGCTGAGGATCGAACCCAGCAACCCACGCATGCCAGGCGAGCGCGATGCCGCTTGAGCCACATCCCCAGCCCTAAAATTTGTTTTGATGTGATTTTATTTATTTATTGTAGACTAGGGATCGAACCCAGGGATACTTAACCAGTGAGCAGCACATCCCCAGCCCTTTTTATTTTTTATTTTTAGATAGTCTCATTAAGTTGCTTAGGGCCTCACTAAATTACTGAGGCTGGTTTTTAACTTAAGATCCTCCTGCCTCACTCTCCCAAGCCACTAGAATTACAGACATACACCATGCCTGGCTTTGATGTGATTCTTAGTTACCATATCAGTGCCTCAGTGTCTTGCTTCAACTAGTTTTATCTGTCTTTATCAGAAGACATTACAACCAGGAAAATACCCTGGCATAAATACATCCAATCTATAGTGCTTTTCAGTCTAAACACAGGGCCGAGGATCTGTCTGCTGAACATTCGTTGACCTGCTTTCTATTGTTAGCATAATGTGGTTCCTTGGCATTCACTAACATGATTTGAGACTTTCAAAGCACTTTTAACATACAAAATTTATTTGGTCTTTGAATCACCCCTGTGATTTAGATGAGAGTAAAAACTGCATTTTACAAATACTGAAACTTATTTGAGGGAGGGGGTGGTTTTGTTTTTGTCTGTTTCCCTGCTCTTTGTACTTTGCAGTACAAGAACGTGACCTCCATGAGACTAGACTCTTTGTTTTGTTCATACTGTATCTCTAGCACTTAGAACAAGGTCTGGTGCTCAAATCTGTTTATCAGAATAAATAACTGATAAATTGTGTAGAAACCCCAGATTTAAAGATCCCCCTTAGTCACTTAGAATACCACTGCTCTGTGTCTGCCTACATTGTGGCAGGAGGATCCTAAACCCCTGGCTTCTTTCCAAATAGTACCAGGTAAGGTAGGGTTATCCAAGCCAGTATATATTTTATTACCGGTATGGTGGCTAGGGAGGCTTTCACTCTATGGGCTGGGTGTGTTCTAGAAGTTAGGGAGCAACACTGGCATAGCACCTGACATATAACTTATGCTCTGAGACAGTGGTTCATATCAATTAAAGAGTTCCAGATATCTCAGGACCCGGTTACATGCAACATGCCCCACTGCTCCTGTTTTACACCAAGATTAATCCCAAGGACTTCCCAAATCCCCATACCTATTCTAGCAACCTGAACTACTATTCTCTATCTTTAGATTCTCCTGGGTCATACCTCGTTTAATATGAAGTAGATTTTTTTGTTTTTTGTTTGGTTGGGTTTTATACTGGGGATTGAACCTACTGAACTATGTCCCTAGTCTTTTTTTTTTTTTTTTTTTTTTTTTGAGACAATGTCTCAAGATCTTAAGTTGCTGAAGTTGGCTTCAAACTTGCAATCCTCCTGTCCCAACCTCCCAGGTCACTTGGATTACAGGTGTGTGCCACGATGCCTGGTTTAATAAACCAGTTTTCCCCCAAGAAGCAGAGTCTTCCAAGTTTTCTGTCATTCTGTTTTACAACTGTGCCTCATTGGCATCTCATAGTTTTCCCTAGGTTATTGACTTTTCCACTAGACAGTTCTTGCAAGGCCTAGGCCATGTTTCATTAAGTTTTTGTCTTTCCTTAGAATTTGGCATGTGTTTTTGCATAATTTAGATACAAATTGAATGCTTAGGAGATTAACTTGAGTTAAGGAAAGTGATGCTAAATTCCTAGGCTGGTCTTGAATGTTAAATGGTTTGGGGAGTTTGAGTGGCTCAGGGCTGGGATTGTGACTCAGTGGTATAGCACTTGCTTAATAAGTGTGAGGCACTGGGTTCGGTCCTCAGCACCACATTAAAAATAATAATAATAAAATAAAGGTTTGTATACATCTACAATTAAATTTTATATATATATATATATATATATGTAGTTTTTTTTTTTTTTTTTAAGTTTGAGTGGCTAGGAGCTTATACTGAAAATTGATTTGTTCACAGGCAACAGCGAGTGACCAAGTCACCAGCACCTGTGCACCAAGGAAATTCCTCTTCCCCAGCCCCTGCTGCTTCCATCACAAGCATGGTCAGTGACTGTTGACTATGAATGACTTTTTAAGACTTCTCTGTTTGTGCCTATGTTGTGTGTGCCCCAAAGTGTCCTTGAATGCCTTTCCAGAAGAATACTGATCTAATAGTCTTTTATACCTGCCTGTGTGTGTGTGTGTGTGTGTGTGTGTGTGTGTGTAGAACAGTAGGATTTATTTGAGACAAAAGCTCCTAGAAGGTGAGAAAGGACCCAATAAGGGTTCCCCTCATACTTTTTTTTTAAGGGGTGTGTGTGTAAACACAATACCTTTATTTTATTTTTATGTGGTGCTGAGGATTGAACCCAGTGCCTCACATGTGCTAGGCGAGCACTCTATCACTGAGCTACAACCCTGGCCCCTCATACTTGCCTTTTTATTAGATCTTTCCCTGGTCCATCACAGTCTAACTCAGGTTTCTAGTGAAGTCCCTATATTGGGGAAAGTATATTCCCGCAGATAGATGAGCATGAGCCAAAACACACAGATGACATAGTATATGCAGACGGACATCTCATACAGGGAGGCAGAAGGAAAAGGTGAGAAGTGAGGCAGACAGGTGGATAGGGGTAACAAGTCACATCATGGTGAGTACATTTTATATGCTGGGAGTTTGCAAACTGTTCAGGTCTCAGTTATAGGAACTAAGGCTGGGACAGAACAATTTGTTTGTAGGGGCCAATATAAGTTTTACAACTGACTGGTGGTATTCTTTTTTTAAAAAAATGTTTCATTCTCCACAGACTTTTTATCATCTAGTGAAAGCTGATAGAGACCCTTCAGGGTTCCACATGGGTCTTTTACATTTTTTATATCTTTTTTTTTTTTTTTTTTGTGTGTGTGTGTGTGTGTGTGGTACTGACGATCAAACCCAGTGCCTCACATGTGCCGGGCAAGTGCTCTAACATGAAGCCACAATCTCAACTTTCCACGTGGGTCTTTGCACCAAACACCTTGAAAGCAAGATCTAGAAGAAGCTTTTCTATTCATAAGTTATGCACTGTCTCCTTACATCAAGGATTTTGGGGTTGTTCAAGAAGAAAAGAAATATATAGGGCTAGGGCTGGAGCTCAGTGGTAGAGCGCTTGCCTAGCATGTGTGAGGCACTGGATTGGATCCTTAGCATCTCATAAAAAATAAGCAAATAAAATAAAGGCATGCTGCCCATCTACAAAAAAAAAAAAAAAAAAGACATAGTAAAATAGTGACAAGTTCACTATTTTATTGACCCCAAGTGATGAATGACCCCAAGTGATAATTCCTACTGTCTGAGGAAACTATTTGAATAATTGTAAATTTTCTGGTAGCCAGGTGAAAAAGAGAAACATTAAGAACATGGAGTTATTTAGATTCTGACATTGTCATTGAAATGTCCTTTCCCAGATGGAAAAGTAAGCTATTACTCTAGGTTATACTTCTGCCCATGCTTTTCCTCTTCCCAGCCTAATCTTGGGCTGGGAAAATGTGTGAAACAGAGGCAGGTCCCCATCATAAAAAATTGTGAGCAAGTGTTATAAAGATCTTGGGACACCACCTATTTGCCCCTTTAGGTGTCTTTTCCTTCAGTAGCTACGGTGAACGTTGGAGTTGGTCTCTGCCACCATGTGGGCAATATCGTGTCTCTTTTTTGTTGATTATCTTGACCACTTAGGCCTGCCTTAATATTAGAGAAGGGAACTTAGAGCGTGCTGATGCCAATTGCTTTTCTCTGCAGCTTTCTCCTTCCTTCACCCCTACCTCAGTAATCCGAAAGATGTACGAGAGCAAAGAGAAAAGCAAGGAGGAGCTAGCATCGGGAAAAGCCGTTCCTATTGACAGTAAAGAAGATACTCAGAAGGCCACTGAAGGTAGTACTACAGAGTTGTTGGCTATACTATTCAACAAAGAATGTCTCAGAACATGGGCCTTAGTGCTGAACAACCTGATCTGTTTCTCTGCGAGGCCCTGGGCCCATCCCCTGGACCATAGTTCTATGTCTATGAGAAGGGTCGGACCAGCTCACAGTCACTTGCTTGTTCATATTCTGACCAACATAAGAGGGGTGTAAATGCTGATTTAAAAGAATAACTAGGGCTGGGGGATATAGCTCAGTTGGTAGAGTGCTTGCCTCGCATGCACAAGGCCCTTGGTTCAATCCCCAGCTACACCAGATATAAATAAATATATAAACAAACAATAAGCTTAAAAATAAATAACTAAGCTGGGCGCCATGGCATATTCCTATAATCCCAGTGTCTCAGGAGACTGAGGCAGGAGAATTTCACATTCAGGGCCAGCCCCAGCAACTTAGCAAGGCCCTAATTGCCGCAGCAATCTAGCAATATCCTGTCTCAAAGGCCTGGGCTTAGGTGTGGTGGTGCACGCCTGTAATCCCAGCAACTCCAGGGGCTGAGGCAGAAGGATTACAGGTTCCAGGCCAACCTCAGTAACTTAGTGAGCCCTAAGCAACTTAGGGAGACCCTGTCTCAGAATACAAAAAGGGCTGAGGATGTGGCTGAGTGGTCAAGTAAGTGCCCCTGAATTCAATCCATGGTACCCCACCCCCTCAAAAAAAGGTGGGGGGGCACTACCAGTGTGGCTCAGTGGTTGAGTGCTTCTGGGTTCCAATCCCTTGTAACAAGTACCAAACAAAAAGAATGACTTTAGTCTTCAAGATTATTCTTATTCTGCTTCTGAAAGTTTGGATACTGAAGTGTCTAATACAATCTGTGAAATGAGTGAAGCATATAGATGTAAGAGCCTTTCAAAAGTGTATAGAAAATGTGCAAGAGGGCTGGGGATGTGGCTCAAGCACACTCGCCTGGCATGCATGCGGCCCGGATTCGATCCTCAGCACCATACAAACAAAGATGTTGTGTCTGCTGAAAACTGAAAAATAAATATTAAAAAAAAATCTCTCTCTCTAAAAGAAAATGTGCAAGAGGCTTATGAGTTGCACAGTAGTGATCATGAAGGACATGGTGTCATCCATAATGACACAGATTCAAATGAGTTAAGTGTTAAGTATTGGTGTGAGAGCTTTTTGCTCGTTTGAGAAGGCTTGGTGGGGGGGTGAATATAATGGAAATCCTGTTGGTCCTATTAGGTTAATTTAGATTCTTTGACAGGCTGTGATTGTTGCTCTAATTTTCTGCTGTGGATTTTCATGATATTATACTTGATTGTCTCCTCAGGGTATAAAAAGCATGTTAATCACAAGCATTTGACAATGATGAAACTACATGAACCACCAGGCCTGATATATCAAGCATTTGCCAGTAGTTGTCCTTGGATTGGGAGGAGTATGAGAATATAGATGTGGGCTCCCTGCCCCAGCCTACTTCCCCCATACCTCCTTGTCCCCAATACTGGAAATTAAACCAAGGTGTACTATACCACTAAGCTATATCCCTAATCATTTTTATTTGAAGATATGGTCTTGGGGGGGCTGGGGTAGTGGCTGAGTGGTAGAGTGCTCATCTAGCATGCACGAGGTACTGGGTTCGATCCTCAGCACCACCTAAAAATAAATAAAATAAATAAATATATTGTATCCATCTTTAAAAAAAAAAAAAAAAAAGATATGGTCTTGCCAAGTTGCTGAAGCTGGCCTTGAATTTGCAATCCTGCTTCTGCCTCCCAAGTATATGAATTATAGGCATATACCACCATGCCACGCAAGACATGGGCTTAGAGACATTTATATAACTTTTGAGACTTTGGTTTAGGGAATTTATCAAAACTTCTTTGTAGGTTGGGGGACATAGCTTAGTGGTAGAGAGCTTGCCTAAAATACACAAGATCCTGAATTTGAACACCAGCACCAACAAAACAAAAACATAACAACAACAAAGCTTTGTTCCAGCAAGAAGTTGAAAAACTTGGGTCTAGTCCTAGTTCTATCCCTAACTACTCCTGTAACGTTGACTCACAGTTCATCTTCTTGGCCTATTTATAAGGCAAATGATGGTCCCTATTATGTAGTCTTTTTTTTTTTTTTTTTTCCTATAGCTGTAGATGGACAGAATGCCTTTATTTATTTTTATGTGGTGTTGAGGATTGAACCCAGTGCCTCACACATGCTAGGCAAGTGCTCTGCCACTGAGCTACAGCCCCAGCCCCTATCACACAGTCTTTCTAAATTTGTCAAGGTATCAATTA